TCAGCATGCAGAATTTCGGGAGTTGAAGTCCATACATCTTAAAGTTACCAAGGTTGAGAAACACTGGTTTAGGTGATACCCTCTAAAAAGTGAAAAAAGCAAGGTAGTTCCAGACTAAATAGTGTGGAAGGAACCTATGAAAATAAATACATGTAGAGTAAAAAACAAAAGAATCTGATATTTGTATAAGCAATTACCTGAAAGAATTAGCGAGAATTGAAAAGCAAACACATACCGAAGCAAGGCATCAGGACAATTTTCATCTTTTTGCTAATCAACTACAGCAATTCACATGGAATTGTTTGATACCTAAAATATAAGGACTGTAATGATTTTCCAAATCAGATGCTGTCAGTTCCCAGCATCTGCTGTTGTTTTCACAGAAATTATGTTGAGGCAATAAAATGAAGCAAAATAGATTTAGCAAACATTTTACTCATTACAGTAACAGTGTAACATAATACATCATTTGTGAGTATAATAAGCCTTAGTAAAGCTCTACCTATTGACCATCCCCATGCATGGATTCAAGTGTGCATCATATCTTTTTTGTATAAGCAGGTATTATACCTACCAAAACTGAGCCTCAGCTCTGTGTACTGCAAAGAAAATAAATGTATTTGCAATATGATAATCTAGCACAGTGTTTCTCAACCTCGACAACTTTAAGATGTATAGACTTCAACTCCCAGAATTCCCTAAACAGCATGCTGGATGGAGAATCCTGGAAGCTGAAGTCCATACACCTTAAAAGTTGCTGAGGTTGAGAAACAATGATCTAGCACACAACTCACTTGAACATGTTATAAACATCAAACATGTCCATATGCATTATTTGCATTGTCACTCTCAAGAGAGCCTATCTCTACACTGGTTTCCTCGCATATCAGTCAGCAACAGTGAGGGTCTCAAGGGCAAGATGGCTTTGCTTTGTATCAAAGTAATGGGGAAATGTTTGCTAAAATGAACTATGGGTCATGGCTCCTATTCTTGAGACTATAGAAAGAAGTTACCGACAAATAAATGTACACCTGGAAGTAGGACAATTTTAAATTTGGACAAAGTGCCTTACAAGATTTAAAATCTATTAAAACATAATTTAAACAAATTCTCTCTCTCAAAAGTAGTTGGGCTTTTTGTTGTGCACATAAATTCTGCTTTTTTCACCATTACTAGATCTGTTTATACTGAACCATTTTCAAGAAAAACAAAAGCAAAGCATTTCCAAACCATAAGAGTAATGAAAAGGCTAAAAAATAATGCACATATATGCATGAATTCTAAACAAGTGTAGAACATCATCGCTCATATTTACTATGCCACTCCATCATACAACTGATGGTGTACTACTCCAATCTCTGGATTTAAAAACAGTGCAGCCATCCATGAACTCCCCTCCCAGAATGAAATGACTAGGAACTAATATATTCCCCAGTGATCTGAGGAAGAATAAACCCCACTCTCACTTGGGAGTCCACTAAAATGACATCAGTCCTTATATTTTGGTATGAAGATGTCAATCCTTAGGTATAAGATAGGCAAACTAGCAAAGTCTCTTGCATTAAAAAAGAAAACAGAATTTTCTGTTTGTGAGCCCAAGCATTTACACACAACCCAATTCCCATTGAGATTGATGGCCCATATACATGCAATTATTTATATGTCTGCAAATATTTTTACATTATAAATGTTCCCCTTGGATACAGCTGTGTATTACACTGCTACATTTTCAACATTTTCTTACATCACTCTGAGTACAAGGACATATTTGACTCACATATGTGCAGTTCCCTTATTACAATAAAAGCAACTTCACTGAGATCTGAACCTGCACAAAAAATATTTTTACTTATTTCTCATTAGCTTTATTAAATTCCTTTAGAAGCACAGTATGGAAGTAACTCATTCTGTAAGTAGAGAATACAGATGTACTGTTTTACCTTTTTTTTCCTATTTAAACAGTAGTATCAGATTGCATTGGTGTATTCTTAGGGACACTGACCAATTCTCAGAACATATAAAACCTTTATGAACATTTTTCTGTGTAATGTGCTGGGCAAGTGTATTTAATTATTTCAGTATCCAGCCATACAAAGGTGGAATCTTGATAGCAATAAATATCAAGTAGCTACTCTGCTTTATTGTAGGACAGTGCAATGAATGCACACATGACATTTGCTATAACGCGCATCAAATTTATAAGTATATATTCACTTTGGATATTATTTATAGTACAAATGCATAATCCTTTAACTATCCTAGCTTTTCCCAGAGAATCCAGGCCACTGCAAATTGGCAACACTTTGGATATTAGAGTCCGCTAATGCTTCTTCTTCCTGACTATGATACTCAAGATTCTCCAGGAAGGGAGAATGGTGGTCAGATCTGGTTTCAAGTCTCTAATCTAGATATCTGCTTCGTCACCAATATAATAAATTTAAGAACAAACTGATATTGTCATGATATTAATGGGGACATGGTCACTGGCACAATGCTCTTGACAGCAGAAGACATATTTGTTTCTATTGAGATGGAGGTCCAATCCTGGGATGTAAAGACTAGTGAAACATATTCTATTCCCCTTCATAACAATGAACATTAGCAACAGTGTATTTGGTTCTGATAACTTTATAAACAATGTAACTATCATGTCTAGTAAACTGTACAGCAACATGACACTGATCTTGAATACAAACCTTAAATTATAACTAAAAAACCTGAAGAACAAGTATTCGCTGGCAAAATCTTTCTACTCTAGAGCTCCAACTGTACTGATACTCTCAGCTACCCAAAGAGCTCTCGGTCATGAAATCAACTGAAACGAATTCACAAGTGTTAGGAAACCTTATTCAATTGCTATTTTTCTAAATCAGAAATGATTGGAAATTTGTTATAAGTTTATGTAAATTTATGTAATTCATATATAAGCACATTAAGGTGGAATTCAGATGGAATTAAAAAGCTGGAAAAAATGTTCCAAGGAAAAAAACTCTAAAAATGTCAGAGTTCTGAGTTGGGAAAATAATAACAGAAATACAAGTGTATCCACTATTCAATTTTTAAATTTTTTTTTTCCTGAAGTTCTCTCTTCATTATTTACATGCTAAGGAAATAAAAAAATTTTCCTTCACATTCTTTATGGTGACAATAATCAATCAGAATGATAAAAGCAGGACAAATATTAGAATTATATAGTGATTGGTGTCTACTTTATAAAGCAAGATCACCATATAATTAAGTACAAAAATCTGCATTGAATGACATCTGCTGGTGTAGTATCTTGATCAGATATGGTGACCAAGATTAAGTAAAAGCCCTATAACAGATATTACTTCTGGAGCTTTTCCAAACTGTATGTCTGCAACAAATGTTGGCAAAACTTTCTGGAGCATCAGACTTATACAAAACACAGGACTTCTCCTTCATATGTACAGCATAAAATGGAACATTTGCCTGCTCTAGTGTTCCAGATCACACACATATATAATAATATGTGTCCTCAGAAGAATATCTGTTTGGCATCTCCAGGACTCTGCTCCATAGGACAATAAGGACATTTTAATCTAAAAATAAAGAAAATATTAAAATTAGCTGCAAAATGGCATTTAAATAGCCACACATTTGAACATATTTAAATAGCTAATACTTGGCATTTCCCATCTCATTTCAACATTTGGTTTGTGATTCAACAATATTGTAACAAAAAAGCAAAGAATAGCTAGAGACCAAGATTTACAGTATAAAATCAAGGTTAAAATTAAGAAATAAGAGAGGCATCAAATATAGTCCCATCACATCTATATAAGAGATTTTAAGTAGATCTCTCCCACAGGATGGAAAACCTTGTACCCAAACTAATAATTAGGTAGGAAGATGTTGATGAAGGTTCTCAGTCATCCAGGTAGAATTATCTGGAGACTGAGTCATGGCAACTGGATTTCTTTTCTTTTGGTTTGATACCTTTCGCTGCTTGTCCAAGCAGCTTCTTCAGTCTAGAAAGTTGGTTGGGGGGGACCCTGCCTCCCTGGTGAACTTGTGAAGTGGTCTTAATCTTCCTGGGGACTGATGAAAGAGCAGCATGAAAAATGGGAGACAAGTTGTGTCTGAGGCCTCCACCCTTCATCTAAAGGAAAAAGGACACTCATTTGAGGACAATAATATTCACATTTTCTGCCTCCCTGGTGAACTTGTGAAGTGGTCTTAATCTTCCTGGGGACTGATGAAAGAGCAGCATGAAAAATGGGAGACAAGTTGTGTCTGAGGCCTCCACCAAAATGTGAATATTATTGTCCTCAAATGAGTGTCCTTTTTCCTTTAGATGAAGGTAAACTGCTGATTCTGGTCCTGTGTTGTTGCTCCTCCTGTGCTGGGCCATCCTCTTGTGTAAAGGCTGTTTGGTTTCTCCAATGTAGAGCTCTGAACACTCCTCACTGCACTGAATTGCATGTACTACATTGCTCTTATGTTTTGGTGTTCAATCTTCAGGGTGTACAAGCCTCTGTCTCAGTGTGTTAGTGGGTTTGAAAAATACTAACCCTTAGACACAACTTGTCTCCCATTTTTCATGCTGCTCTTTCATCAGTCCCCAGGAAGATTAAGA